GAGGTTGTTTTCAGACAATTCATGAGGCACCCATTTTCCAAGTTTAGGAACTTTTCCAAGTTGTTGAAGATGACGATGAACAGTTGTATGGTTTGAACTGAGAACCACTGCCAATTCCTCAACTGATAAAGCAGGATTTTCTTCAAGGGCTGCTTCAAGAAGCTTTTCATCAAACTCAACTGGACGTCCGGTTCGATCTTCATCTTCAAGGGTGAAATCTCCACCTCTGAATTTTGCAAACCATCTTCTGCAAGTTCTTTCATTCACACATTCCTCTCCATAAACTGAGTGAATGTTTCTAGCCGCTTCGGCTGCTGAGTTTCCTTTCTTGAACTCATAAAGCATTATGTGCCTCAAATGATTCTTTGGTACTTCCATGTTAGCAGGGTTTTAATCAAACAAAATTTAATTTTATTGTTCTCTGAAATAAAATTTGATCAGTTTAAATGCATCTAAACATAAAAATAATGTTCAGCTCCATTAGACATTATAAAATACTCTTTAAATTTCGTTCATTTTAAAAAAAAGTTAAAATTCGGACAGAACTTATGGGATGACCTGATATATAACCAAAGCGCAATGTACGTATGTCCGTCCGTCCGTCCGTCCGTCATTTTTTAAATCTCGGCGAATCATAAACAACCTGAAATAACAGGTATAGTAACTACTGTAGTTCTTTTTGCGATTAAAACTTAAATAACTCATAGTTAAATTTAAACATCGAACAGAGTTGAAATGTTTAAAAAAAATTTTATTAAATATTTAACTTTAATGAAATTTTTTCGTACAGAAATGCAATTGATATCGTCAAATTAAATCTTAATTAAAACTTAAAGAGGGCATGACATGTTGTTTTCTTTTGTTTTTGTTTTGTTTTTTTTTTTGTGGGGTTTCTTTTTACTGTGATATATTCGGAATATTACATAGTTCGGTTCCCAATGTCTTTCAAGAGTGACTTTATGTGATGGGATCATAAAGAATGATTTTAAAAAAAAAAAAAAATTGTACGCAAAATAAATGTGAACAAACTGCGGAGATTGGTTGTGTATACGAAGAAAGAATATGCCGAATGAAGGTATCGAATAAAGATAAAATAGTTTTATTATTTCTCAATTCTTATAACTTTTTTAAATACATAGGACGCTGAAGATAAATGCTAGCAACAGGAGCTAGCCTAAAGTTCGTCGAATAAAAATATTTCTAGGCTAGTAAAAAATAAAGCTGAAGTTTTATTATGATGTCGTTACTCTGATTACAATAAGCAAGCACCTTACAATCATTAAAAGTTAATGTAACATCATTGAGATAACTTGAACACAAATGCCTAATTGTTAATCAATCTTGTCTCAAAATGACATTAAATTATCAAACCGTGCATTTTGCAGTCAGATATTCTTCCCGCAGCGATTTGTTAGTTTATTGAAATCTTGTTTGCCACATTTCAAAATTCAAAATTGAAAATAGAACCAACTCATTGGTACTTTTAGTTCATAAGATTCTAAATTAAAACTGTTATTCATATTTCGGTAAGTTTTTCGTATGGTCGACGAATAGACGTGAAGACAAATTAATAACGATTTAACCGCCTATAATTTGAGTCAAGTTAAACTTTAAGCCTACCTATTGTTAAAAGGCATCATCCGGAAGGCAACAATGACTCAATGAAAGTTATCTAATAGAAATTGTTGTCATCTGCTTGTTTGATTGCCGATCCGATGGCCTGGCTTTCGCCATTGCACACAAAAGATAACTGCTAATTTTCAAGCAATTAATTCTAAAATTTTCCAAAAATAGATGATACGCTCCATTAGCAAAAAAAAGCCTCTTTATCTATCTTTATTCAGCTCACAAACTGAAAGACAATTTGAATTGCATCCACAGGAAGCATTTGGAGTTTAGGCATTGAATTTATATGACAGATATTTTCAATTAGACTCAATTCTGTTGTAATATTAAATTGACAATATTTAAATTATTATTGAAATTTTGACAAGTCATGCTTTATGTTTATTGCTTTAATCAAAAGGCCTGCAACATTTCACTGTGTATTTTTCCCCAATGATTTGGAGTTATAGAAAAAAAAATCTGAAAAGCAAAAAGGACAGATAAAGCGAGCGTTTTTTTTTTTTGTTTTTGGGGTTTTTTTGGAGGGGAGGGTTTTCTTTGTTTTTTTTTTTTTTTTTTTTTTTTTGTTTGTTTTTTTTATTTTTTTTTTGTGTGTGTGTTCAAATTAAAAGGACCTGCAGTTGAATGAACAGCTGTCAGCAAGACGATGTCTGGATAAAAGCTTTCCAAATTTAGGATCATTAACTTTCATCTTGACAATATTTCTAAATTTCAATAGCTAAGTGAATACAGTAATTAATGTTATTTTCACTCAGTTTTTTTTTTAAATTTTCCACAAAAATATGTAACTATTTTTAGGTTGTTTTCAAAAGGTTGTCATCAGTATTTTATAAGCATATAACAGGTTCAATTTAAAGATTTAAACAAAGTATAAACCTTCCATTTTTAATTGCCGTTGGCCACGAGATACTACTGTTAGGATAGTCAAATAATAGTGCTGATAATATTGTAAACTTTTTGTGAAATCAATAATGTGTTAAAAATTTAGAAAAAAAAAGAAAACTTAGATGTATTACGACAATAAATTAGATAACACACCTGTTGATTTTAGTTTCTTAGCGTAACGATGAAGTTCAGGGAAGAAACCAAAATGAAAAAAGAGTTGGATTACAAATTTTTTGAATTTTAGTTCGTAAGAAATTTCAAAAGAAATTTCGTGAAGACTGCTTAATTAATTTTAGGAAAAAGAAAAAGAAAATTCATGCCAACAAAATTTTAATAGTAACTCCATAAAAAATTAAAATTGTTGTTCTAAGATACGTATTTATTTTTTCATAAATCACAATTTCTTCAACATTTTACATATAATCTGACTTCCTGAAAGCTCCTTCATTTGAAAAAAAAAAAAACAAAAAATACTAACAGAACATTTGCTTCAATTCAATATGTATATTTCAACAAAATGCAGATATATTAATTTTCTGAGTTCAAGAAATTACACTTTTCTTTGACTTCCATGGCCTCATTTTATAATCTGATAAACAAGTCCAATCTCTTCAAAAATATAAAAACATTGTTCCAAATTAAACAATCAATCTCTCTCTCTCTCTCTCTCTCTCTCTCTCTCTCTCTCTCTCTCTCTCTCACACACATACACACAGACATACACAATCATTAATACATCTCGTACGTAGGTTAAAAATTTGTTTATCCATTGAAAGCTTATTAAAGCTTTTTGAACTTAAGTGCTGGATGAGTCGAGAAAAATATTGTGTTAATGAATAAATAACTAATGTTATTTGGAAATCAGTGCTCTAAATGATGAGAGAGAACTTTTGAAAAATATAAAAAGGAATGTGTTATTTTTATCAAATATTATAGATCTGATATCTATTAATCATTTTTTTCTACTATACAATGAGTGAATTCCTTCAATTTCAATTCAAGCTGATCAATAAAATCCATTTCGGATTTGATATTATACATATATTTTTCTGGTTTTCCAGCAAGATGACAATTGAAATAATTTTGAAGTTTGTTTAGATTATTATTCAAGAATTGTATAAAACTACCACTAGTGGACGCTAATCGACTTGACTGTGAAAACCAAACTCTTGTCCTTGAGAGGAGACAGATATGTTCTGGTTTACCGATAGGATGAGGAATACATATAATACATGCATGTAATAATAGATAGATAGATAGATAGAGATAGATAGATGATAATATTATTTGGTAATCCGTATGGATAATTCCAAAAGGATATATATCAAAGAGAGCTCAATGTAAGAACAGAGCAAATGATAATTATGAAAGCGGAGACTTTAGGAATCCGTGGTAATATTTTATTTCATAAAAAAGCTATACTTCGGTTTCGTCTCATAAGACCAAGATCAATTTTAACAATATAGAATTAAACTCATTTCCTCGTCTAAAATAATTTTCATTACGACACAACACATTTTGCCTACGTAACAACACTCACCAGTTCTACGAAACTCGGCAATTACGTCTTAAGAAAGTCGAAAGCTTAATTATTTCTAGAAATGAACTTTGGACAATTTCTGACGGAAAGTTCTCTTTGTTTGAAAAGGATTATTTGTAATTTTGAAAAGTCGTTAATTAAAATTAATCGACAAACAATGTATGTTGTTTTTTAACAATATTTGCATTAACGAACATTTCTTGCCTAAATACACAAACATATGTATGTGTGTACGCGACCTCGCGCGTGTGCGTCTGTGCTTCCTAAATGCAAACAATATATATATATATATATATATATATATATATATATATATATATATATATATATATATATATATATTACAGTTATTCGATATTGATGAACGTTTGTACTACGTAGTCGTCCAGAATCTGGTCTATTGCTGTAAGAATGTTCATTTGACAACTATTGCCAACATCGAAGTACCACAGTAGCAAACATGTGAAGAAATTCTTCAAAATGGCCATAACAGCTCATCAAAGTCACACAGGCCGATGCCTCTCAAACGTCTTTTTAACAAAAAAAAAGCCCATGATCTGCATGGTACGACACCTGCTTGAACTGAACTCTTTCACTGTTGAACGTTATCTCAGTATGCATCACTTTCAAAAGATCAAACACAGACGGTTAACTTTCCATGAATATTATTACGTCACAAGATGAGTAAAAACTTCGTAAATTTAACAGAACATCAAACTAGCCTCGGCATCGTCATTCAAGGTTCTGTAAATTTTTACATCGCTCTACCGACAACAAACATTTACGGGTTTATGTGGTGGCATTCATTTGTTCAAGACAGCAGTCAACTGATTAAGACCTTAGTCCATTGGGCTTTGGTAATAAATTAAATAGAGAAATTGAATTTATTTAGTTCTGAGCCAGAGTGGATACCTCTTGGATATCGTGGAGTCTAGCATTCGGGAAAAAAATGCAACACTTTCGCAAGCCTAATTTGATCGACCCCACCCCAAAATGTTCCGTCTGTTTACGTGTACCGTGGATTGGTGACGTGAGTACAAGATTAGTTAAACAGTTTTCTGTGTACGTAAACAAAATTTCCGCTAATTCACGTATTGTTTTTGGTGCCTGACCAATGTTGAGACCAATTCAATGACATTCTACCTCATTTACCAATTTAGTTGCGTACGCACGTGTGTATGTGTTAATGGAGTCGCTAAAGTCGACGGTCTTCAGCATTCTAATGGAACCATAGATGCATAGCTTATTCTCGAAGTTTTGTAAATCAAATAGGTAAGTAAACTTAGTCGATGACTTGAACAAAAGAAAACATTGGAACCATTCTCTAAGTGATCATTCTTCTACACGTAAAACCTAATTAAACCCTGTTATAAATCAGTGAAGCGTTATCTGGAACTTCAACAGAATATCATTTCTTTCGGAGGCATCTTGATAACAGTCATTTGTTCCGTCTTTTGTCAGGAACAGTTTAATTGAATGGGACATAAAGTTTCATCATTACAGGAATGTTGCACTTTAATCAACTGCAATGGCGAGAATATAGTCATTAGAATTTTTTGTGCTCATTTGCGGATGACAAGAATAAGGAGTGCTTATATTACTTTGACTCAATCTACGAAGAACGGAATTATCAGTTCTTTACAAAATATTTAACTCCACAACGGGAATAAATCCTGATAGCCTCATCTGTTGATGACGAGAATATCAGTGTTTACGATACTTTGGTCAACTGCAGCTTGATACCATTCCTTGCAGAATGACAAAACAGAACCGCAGTTCTTATAATTCTTTCCACCTGTCCTCCTTTTATCTTCATAATTTTTGTCTCAATTAGATAACTTCTTTCTCTTCTTTCTTCTTCTTCTTCTTCAATTCTTTCTTCTGATAACAGAATATCTCTCCCTTTTATTCTTCTGCTCCTTTCTTCTTCTTCTTTTCTTCTTCTTATTCCACAATTCTTTGGAGTTGCTACAGATAACTGCTATCTTCCTTTACCTTCTCAACTGCGAATGTGATGTCTTCTTCAATTCTTCTGCTGTATGTAAAGAGGTATCTCTTTACCATTCTTTGTCTCCTTTTCTTCTTCTGTCCAACTGCTGATAACTGGAATATTCCTTTTACAATTCTTTTCTCCTTTTCTTATCTCTTCTTCTTTGACAACTGCAGATGAATATCTCTCCTCCTTTATCTTCAAATGACAGGAATACCCTTCTTAATTAACAACGGATTCTTCTTCAATTCTTGCTGCTGCTGATAGAGGAATAGAGTCTTTTTTTTTTGGCTCATCGGACAATTACTATTCTTCTGCTAACTGCTGATGCGCGAATGTCGGTCCATATAATTCTTTGGTTTTACTTCTTCGGAGATATCCGTCCCTTCAATTGCTGGCTGCTGCTGCATCCTGGTTTACCAGTCCTTGCAATTCTTTCTGAATTATCAGTCGTTACTTATTTCTGCTGAAAACGGTAATTTTATCTTTTCAGTTCTTTCTTCTTCTTCTTCTTCTTCTTCTTCTGCTGCCCCCTCCAAATTTTATCTCTCTTTGCTCCTTTTCTTCTTCTTGCTGCTGCTTACTGTCCTTTTTTATCTTCTGTCCATTTCTTACTTCTTCTTCTAGCCTGCTGCTATGTTTTATCTTCTGCTCCTTTCTTCTTCCTTCTTCTGCTGCTGCTTCTGCTGCTGCTCCTTTTATCTTCTGCTCCTTTCTTCTTCTTCTGCTGCTGCTGCTCCTTTTATCTTCTGCTCCTTTCTTCTTCTTCTTCTGCTGCTTCTTTGCTTAACCTTGCTCCTTTACCTTCTCCTTTCTTTTCTTCTTCTTCTTCTTCTGCTGCTGAAAAAATTATTTTTTTCTTCTGTTTAGTAAACGTCTTTTCTGCTGCTGCAAATAATAAAGTAACAGAAGCCAGTTTGCTCCTTTGCTTCTTCTTCTTCTTCTTCTTCTATTGCTGAACTCCTTTTAGCAGTTACTCGAAAAAATATTCTGTTTCTTCATTTTGCTTCTTTTATATCTATATTATTTGCTGCTGGGACTGTATCTTTACCTTATGTACAAAATGATTTGTTTTCTTCTTCTTCTTCTACTGCTGCTGCTGCTCCGTTAATCTTGTTGAAGAGATTCCTTTCATTCTTCTTTTGCTGCTACTGCTGCTGCTCCTTACCTACTGATGAAGTGTTCGATTCAGATATCTTCTGCTGCTGCTTATTTAACTCCTTTTTTGTTCTCGTTCTGCTCATTTCTTCCAGTTTTTCCCATAGATTAAATAAAGGATTCTCGAATGCCCTGTAGGCTACCAGGACTATTGCTGCTGACCAAAATATTTGTGGATTTTATCAAAGATAATGACTCCTTTCATTTTCTTCTTCTTCTTCTGAATTAGCTTCTTTTGTTTTGTATTGTAGCTGAGAATGGTGGTGCCCTTGAGTTTGTCAAATTAGTCCTAAACGACATTTTATAACTATTGTTTCCATTTTATAAATGGGGTCTGATGCCACTCAAAATCGACTGGAAATTGTAATAAGTTTGAATAAACGTGAAATGGCGGCATTAGTGGACACAATCTGTATGAATGGATACTTCATTTAAAATAGACACGGTAACTTTCGAGTTTAAACGGTTAGAATTGTAGTGATCGGGAAGCATCCTCGCAGGAGTCTGTTCCTCAAAGTAGCTGTTCATAGAAAGAAGCTTTCCGAATAGAACTTCGTCCTTACCAATGGAATACGAAGGGTACAGGGGTGAGTCGTTCCAGTGTACGTGGCATGGCGGATCATTATTACCAGCAATAATTTAAAAAAAAAATATTAGCAGCAATACATTTTTGAAAAAAAAAATTACCAGCAATACATTATTACCAGCAATAATTAAAAAAAACATATTAGCAGCAATACATTTTTGAAAAAAAAATTACCAGCAATACATTATTACCAGCAATGATTTAGAAAAAAATATTAGCAGCAATACATTTTTGAAAAAAAAATTACCAGCAATACATTATTACCAGCAATAATTTAAAAAAAAAATTATTAGCAGCAATACATTTTTGAAAAAAAAAAAATTACTAGCAATGCATTATTGCCAGCAATAATGTTTTGAAAAAAATTACCAGCAATACATTATGAACAGCAATATATATTTTTTTAAATATATTACTAGCAATACATTTTTGGAAAAAAATATTACCAGAAATGCTTATTGAAAAAATATTACCAGCAATAGAAAATCTTGACATTAAATAACCCGTTGAATTTGGTAAGCCGTAAAACAAAACAAAGCAAACCAAACTCACTCTCAGACGAGTCTCTTCGCATAAATCTTGTTAGCCTTCATTCTCTCACACCTGAAAATACCGAATATGCTACTTGGATAAGTCAAATTCTATTATAATCAGATTCTATCTCGATCGCAGATTATTAAGTGCCTTGCCAGGTGTTGCTTTTGCACCTATCTGATTCCGATTACAAGCCATATTGAAGACGGGCCCGTATGAATGCACTAATATGCAATCATCTGAGTTGATTACTACGCAGTTAACAGGCGGTTTTATCACTACCTTCAGGCCACTTCCGCTATTAAGTGCCATTACCCATTAACTTCTGTATGCATAGAGCGGCTAACCCGACAAACAAGATTTCTTCTCCTGTTTGTTCGTGCCTCTTCCATTGATTCGCCTATTTCTTTACATACCTCTCATTTATATATATATATATATATATATATATATATATATATATATTGAGATGACGCATTGATAGACTACTAACAGAGATGATTTGATTATAAGGTGTGTAGAACCAGCAACGCATTACAGAACTGATATGATAATATGCCACTAGGTCTCCGTACAGCCCTGGTTATATTTCATAATAACGGCGTTTAACATCTCCGAAATAATGTCAAAAGTCCATCTACTTAATTAAACATGGCACTGCCGGGAAAGACATGGTTCTAACTGACGTTTCTTTCTCCTGGACTGAATACTATCGCCCAAGGCAAGAGAGACCAGAGTTTGGTCTGTTATTTAACCTATATATGGAGGAAAGATCGATATAGGCCTTTTCTAATGGTATTAGCGCGAAGTGAACAAACAGAACCGATTGGAATTTGATACATGGCTCGTCGATTTCATTTTCTACGCAAATAACCGCTACACTACCCAAACATTTTGTATTTAGGATCGAAGGTAGCATGGCTTGTTGACGCAATCTTTTTTGAGCAATATCTGTTTTGAACAAAAATGCAAATGTCGGCATCAAAAGAGACGGTGGGAAATAGATGCTAGGAAAAGTAACTTGGAATGCACTTATACACACACACACACGACAGAGAGATCAGACAGAGACAGACTCACTCATAACTTCTGAGTATAACTCAGTTAGGATCCATGTTTCCATACACGGAAAGCTATCAAACCCCATCCGCAATATAGTTGTAGAAAATAAAAGACTCATCAACATGTAAAAAAAGACTATAAATAATAGAAGCCCGAATAAATTTTTAAAAAAGTCAACACTCAATAACATAGACTATGAACACGGCCGCAATGTGCTGACCGTGTTTGGAAAATAATAACATTCCTCTAACTTTACATCATCTATATAGATAATAAAAATCTAACATATCCATACATTCAGTTAAAAAAAAAAAAAAAAACATCCTTCATAATGAAAAGGATAGACAAAAGCACTCGGACATTCATAATATTTGGAACTTTTAGCAGTTGATGTCCTGTGTCCAAAAAAAAAAACACTTGCAGGAAGGCAAGTAAAAATTAAATAAAAAGCTTAATCGCAGTACGTTGTCAGTCGTCTTTAACAAAACATGTATAAAAGAGGGATTGCTGCCCAAATTGGTGGACAAACACACACTATATATATATATATACACATATATATATATATATATATATATATTTATCTTAAAGTTCCATTTTCAAAGCGGTCACCAGGGACAAATGACAAGGCTGAACCATTATTGGGTTCGTTTATCTTGTCATTGGTTTATAAACAACAACAGACAATATATATATATATATATATATATATATATATATATATATATATAATGTGAATATATATATTCTATATTGTATTTGAAAAATATAAAAAATAGAATTTGGTTATATTTGATAATATATATATATTTTATATATATATATATATATATATACATATATTTGTCAATATTTAATAGCCGTTTCAAGCTGTTTTAACTGTTGACACAAAGCAAATTTTAAAAGATCTCATCATAAACAATACATAAATATACCCTCATACATATTTAATCTCTAAAACTCCGCAAAGGAGTATGGGCATCTGATCATTCAAGCAATCAAAATTTTTACCAACGTATCTACTAATAAATATTGAGTGTTTCTTTTTTCCATCCGTTGTCCAATTATACTAATGTTTTATTAGATACATAGGTATTCAAAAGTTCATGATCAAAAATCTCTTTTCTTAAGGGAAACATCATCTATCATCAAGAAATAGAATATTTTAGATAATTCATTCTTATAGTTTAAAGTTAAAAGTTTTATCAGAAACTAAGAAAAGTATTTCAAAAAATAAAAAACATGTGTTCTTTTCTAGTTCAAGAGGAGCATTTACAAGATAATCTTCTTGGCTTGCCCTGATTTGTATCCTTTTTCTTGAAGGAGACTGCTTGTTTGAACTTAGGTCTCTCTTATGTTCACCAGTGGGGTGGGGCTTTTAGATTGATAGATGTCAAAAATATAAAGAATTTCTTACATAAAGAAATGTATGTCATAAATGTTAATTTAATCAAAAGGTTGAAATCTATATTTCTTCTCTCCTCTAATCTTCTTGTCCTGCAGCGGTAAAAAACCTTTAGACCTGTTGTGGATATATAATTTATTTTCAAATTTTGTTGTAAAGATTAAAACAGGTAGTCTATTATAAATTGTGTGTTTTTGTTTTTCAGAATATAACTATATATATATATAAATCTGCTTTCTATATATATTTTATATGTATATATATTCGTTTAACTAGCGTCAAATGGACAATTGGATAAACCATAGACAACATTAAATCTTTTTAAATGTATTTCTGCAAATTCAAAAAATTAATACTACATAAATAATAATGCCTACAAAAAATATGAAAGTAGTGATTAATTTGTTGGCTGTGCCTAAATATCTTATTTCACTTTTTGTTTGTCGGTCTCATAAAATTAAAAATTAATTTTATTTATATTATATAAATATAAATAAAATTTGTAACCATATGTAAGTTGTGTCTATTTTAATTAAATAAATTCAGTTTGGATTCAATTTACACTGTTTATATTAATAGGACTATTGTCCTCAGAAACAAATATTTAAATTTGAATATTTTTTTTTTTTTTAGCAATATAATTATAAAAGAAGTGGTTATAACTTCGAACATAACCCTTTTCATATATCATATATAACTGGGGAAGACTGGTTCTTTTTCCACGTGCAATGTCTATTGGATGTTGAAAATATTCAGTTCAAAATTCGACACCAAACACCTGTTATAAATATATATAATTGGGGGAGATGCAGGATGAAATGATAAAAATTAAAGAAAGATGTAGATTTGTTTGAATGAAGACGCAATTTGTACATAAAATCAAAATGGGAAATATAAATTAATCCAACTTATCGAAATCTATCTATCTATCTGAGAAGTTTTTGAAATTGATAAAACCTTTGAGGATAATCCATTCCTCAAGAATTGTATTTATTATATAAAATTGAAATCAGAAATAAGAAGATAATGAACGATAATTTAAATCAAAACAAAGATGAGGACAATTTTAGAATAATGTAAAAATGTTACATGATACCTTATTTTCTCAAATATAAACAAATCTATCTAAGATCTATCTATCCATCTATTTAAAAATATGGCAGAAAAAAATGAGGACAATAGTCCAATAATTTTGTTAAATATGTACATAATATCTCAAAGGTCAATTGTATAAACAATTGTTGAGATTATCTATCTATTTATCTATCTATCTATCTATTTATCCATAATTATGGCAACAAAGAAAGGATAATAGTCCGAATAATGTAAAAAAAAAAGTCTAAATGAGTCATCTCAACTAGCATGGGGGAACTAAACGATCCAATAAATCATGGCAAAAAGAAAGGGACAATGGTCCGAATAACATTAAATTTTTTAATAATACCTCATCTAAGAAATATATGGAAGATCTATCTATCTATCTATCTATCTTTTCATATTAGTTGTAATACAGAGAAAAAAACAATGATGAGGATAATAGTTTGAATAATGAATAAATAGTGTAACATAATACCTATCTCAGAAATATAGATATCATCAATACAAAGGTTTTTTCTTATTAAGCTTTTTTAGAAAATTTAGATATTGTATTGTGAGGATATTAAAAAAAATGAATGGGGATACGTATCTAACAAAAAAGGAATATTTCAGAATTTATGATGTGTTTAAACGGACAAGGGAAGTTTTGAACTCTTTCCAAACAGGCAAAAAATGAACAACAGCATTTCAGCCCAAATTTATCCAGTAATACTATCAATTTTTCTTATCAAATTCTTTTTAAAGAATATGCTATGTTGGTATCAGTGGGAGCAGAATAGGGTAAAGTAAAAAGAAGAAAAAGTCGGATTAAGGAAAGGATTTAAAAAGAAAAAAAAAATCGAATCCATTGCCTGTGTTTGGCGTGCTAATACCTCCACTAGCTATGGTAAATTAACTAATGCTGGAGAAACCAATTTTTAAGATCTAAATTGCTTTGGATGGCATCTGGTCTACCACAGAAAAATGGCAAAAAAAAACGGAAAAAAAAAGAAAGAAAATCATTCAGTCAATATAAAAAGATACATGATTGCCTTAAATTATCATTTAAAAGCAGGCTCATACATTTGATCTTGATGTTTCAGATACTTAAACAAAGCTTGACGGAACAGACCATTTTCAAGCATCTTTAAAATTGTTCATTTGATGTTTGGCGAACTGATTAAAAGAGCCTGCTTTTTAAAATGATCCTTTTCTGGGAAACATTTATTCATCATTATATGCGTACAATTTATGCTCGATAACACCTTGCCAAAATTATAGTTTGGTTTTGGACATATTGAACTTCACATGCGAGGGCCAGGTCAGAAGATTGATCAGAATTTGGAAATTTCGCAGATTTTTTTTTTATTAAAAATTATAAACTGTTGAATAAAAATTCACCATGGATCACAAAATACGGAAATTTAATTTAATATAATATTATGAAATAGGGGAAAGGTAAGAAACCTGAGGAATATCAATTTGAAACATGGGTTTGCGATGTCTGGCTTTACAAAACGTTATTAGGAAGGACTTGATAAGATTTCATAACTGGAAAGTTTATGTAGCAGCCCCCATTGCTAATAGTTTCGTTTTTCATTTATATCTTAAGTGAGAGTTCTCTTCATTAAATTTATAATGCACATATATCGTTGATTCTGTTCGTAATGACACTTAAGACATCAGCTGTCGATATATATTTTTATGAAAGCACATTTGTTATATTATGAAATGTTTTAGTTCTTCCTCTTATCTTGATTCATTTATACATTCTTGTTGAAAAAAATGATTTCCACTTTTAAATCTTTCAAGTTTCATTTTTCTCCCCAACTCAATGGAAAAAACTGGATTTTTAACATTTACATTTTGACAAAATTAACCTATTAGCGTTAATTTTCTAGGAGAATTTGAATTTTCACCGGTCATAGGCAATTGTACTCCTTGTAACCTTGTCACGAACGTCTGTTGTGACTCAAAAACAATGAAAAGACGGCCTTTTCAAAAACTAATTGGTCCTTTTTAAAAAACTCAGGTTTTATATCTCTAAAACATGTTTTTTATATATTGATGGTCGGTTCCTTAAAGCGTTCCAGAAATTACCCAACACCTCTTTTACTTTAAACCAGAAAAAACCAAAAATGGAATACTGAATATCTTGACTGAAATGGAAACTGAAAGAATCAGTCTAACTAAGTTTTGTTGACGGATTTGGCTGTGATTATATGCCTTTGGGTGATGAGTTATATTCAATAACCCACAGCCCATTTGATCAAATGAATTTTATTTTATCGTTACCATATATTGTTTCCATTTGGCGAATGTTCAGAGAAGCCATGTTCTTTATTTTAAAAAGCTCGAGCTATTTATATTTCACTAAAGCCAGACAAATTTTTAACACATTTATAAAAAGATATTTCTATCTTTAAACAGATTCTTTAGATAATCAAAAACAATGAATACAAATATATATTTGAAATTATAAATATAAAAATGGCGAAATTATAAATATCGACAAATTTATATATATATATATATATATATATATATATATATATATATATATATATATATATTTTCAATAATATATATTTAATCATTTCAATAAAAATTGTCCAAATCGAACAATTGGAAAATTGTCCAATTGTTAGATTTTTTGAACTGTTTTATCTTAGAAATGATTAAAGATATCTTACTGGAATTCTCTGAGGTTTTTATAACACTATTGGACTCTACTTTGAGCAATAAGAATGTATAATTACTCTCCAAAGCTTAACAGAAGAATCGTGATGAAATCGATCATAAACGAAAATGACATGTTCATCATTAATTAATCATAGCTAAGGATCGGAAGCTCATGAAGGATTGAAATAAAGTTCATATATATATATATATATATATATATATATATATATATATATATATATATTATATATAGGATCATTTTCCAACTTATTTAATATGATATTTTGCCATTTTCTAACTTATTCTAATTTTCTGTCCTGGAGTAACAAAGTGCCTCACAACATTTTCACGTACGATTTCATTTTCAAAGTTTTTTTCACTGCTCTTTGGACTGTCATAGCTGAAACTTCTCTCTCACGTGCCAAATGTCTTATGAAGTGAGTTGGATCTTTTTCTAATTGATCTCTAATTGAGCTCTAAGTTGAAATGATGACTCCCACTTCTTGTTGTGACCTCCTGATCCATTTTTTCTTTTCTACTGTTCCCTCTTTTTTAAACTTATTCACCGTTCTCTTGATGGTTCTTGAATGAACTTTGAAGATGGAAGCCAAAGTATGAATGTTGGTACCATTACTGAAGACCTGAATGATCTTTTTCCTCTCACCATTGCTCATTTGGGAAGACAGTGAATATGACATAGATGATTTTAACCTGTTCTCTTTTTAGCTGAATAACTCAAAGGTTTTTTTTTCAGTGATTCTTACGAAAAATGGTGTCAAGATGGCTAAATGTCTTATCTAAAAACCTGGAAAAAAGAAACTCATTATTAGTTTAGTTTTTTTTTTTTTTTATTAAATTTTTTAATTTTTTTTTTGGGGATGGATAATTATGCTGTTACACGATTTGGAAATTTTTTGTTGCACATATATATATATATATATATATATATATATATATATATTTTCATTTATATATATATATGAAATAATCGTTTAAGTAACGCGGTTAATCTAAAAACGTGACGAATAATTTGTTGCGCTTTCTTTAATTCATTTTTTTCAGTTAACGCTTTATTTGCAGTTTTTTAAAAAAAAAAAACCAAAATTTTTATATTTTTTTTGTGATTTCTATTTATATAATGACAAAAGTGTTTTTTTTTAAAATTTATAATATAAATTATATATTTATATTTAAATATTTAAATGGATAAGAAGTGAAAAAAGACTAATGTTTGAGAATAAATCAGAAAAGGATTTTGAACAAGATAAAGGTATTATGTCAAATCTTTTTGTTTTAAATTTAAATATTTAAATTTTTATAGATATTAGGTTCAAAAAAAAGAGTAAAAAAAGAGAAAACAGAGAAATTTTGTTTTTTTATGATAGATGAAAAGTAATATGAATATAAAGCCGTTTCGAATTGGTGCAATAAAAATATCTTTCTTTTTTGCAAACGGAAAAATTAAAAAAAAAAAAATGTTGTCCTTGCAATTCATATATTGTTCAATGGTGAATATCAAAGTTGACATATATATATAAATATTATATATATATATCATCAAAAGATATTTTATTTGAAATGGCAATTCATTTTTTTTGCAGAAAAATATCTTAAACAATAATGAATTATTAAAACCTTTTAATTTTTTTTTTAAAAAATTTTTGCATTTAAATACTTCAATATTTTATATATGCCCATATATGCTTTATATGATATATATGTAAAAGAGTTTCAAAAAAACATTTAAACAAAATGAATATTTGTTCAATATCCCAATTTTATAATTTATCATATATTTTTATATTTTATTTGCAGAGTTAAAAATATTGACGATACTTTCTTGAAACACAAATTCGCAATTATTTTTAAAACACAACAAAAAATATATAAATATAAATATATATATATATATATATATATATATTTATATTGTATATATAAATATATTTTTAAAACATTTAATATATAAATGGTTTTTTAAATAAACAAAATTTTTATTAAATTTCAGGTTTTTTTTTTAATTTGTGTTAATGTATTTTTACATTTTTAAAAATGTTCAAAATTAAAATAAATTTTAATATTTTTGAAATTTTATGATTCCAAATTTTAAATAAGATCAGTCAACTTAATATATATTAAAATATATATATATATATATATATATATATATATATATATATATATATAAATAAAATATAATAAACATATTATATTTATATATATATTTATTATATATTCGTTTATTTTCCAATTTAAATGAAGAAAAAAAATATAGCTTATTGTTTGTAAAAAAAATTAAAAAGAAAAAAAAAATTGAACGTCAAATTCATCAAAATACAAAATTAAAATAAAACAAAATTAGTAAAAAAAAAAATACAAAAACGATTTGCATGAATTGAGGTGTATTTTTAAATGAAAAAAATTGACTAACAATTGAAATTTCATTTACCTTGTTGTTACACATAATTTTTTCATTATATATATATATATATATATATATATATATATATATAAATATATATTAAAGGAAATATGTATGACAGAATAAAAGGTTTTGAATCAACAAAAATTTTTCCATTTGATTGAAAATAAAAACGCGTCATCTCCAAAAAAAATGGAAATAACAGATTCAAAACATTTTAATAAAATCACAGTTGATATATAACAATTTATATATTTTTTCAAAATTTTAATATATATATAAATTAGATATATAAATATATATATATATATATATATATAA